CGAGTAGTGAATGGTGATGGTGCATACCTCTAATCTCCAGGCTGGTTCGTTTTTGAGATATTTACAAAAAAGTCGTGTATAAGAACTTATGCGACAACCTAATAATTAGAGGAAGAAATAAACATCGTGGAGCCGCAGAAAGAGTACATTTTCATCGCTTCATCAAATGTTGTCAAAGTCGTTGTTAGGTAGATCCCAAGGGAAAAAGTGCGTTTCACCTTACGTAAGGAAAATCAGGAATTAGAATAAACTCACCATAGGAATAGTAAGGTGCACAGTAAGTTGCTGGAATGATAAATATTAAGAGAAGTGGTCGGAGCATCTGGAAAAATGAACGATTGATCATCACCGTTAGAGAATCAGAAATTCATTGAAAACTCAGACAACAAGAGATGAACGAAGAGTGCTGCTTTAGCGTTTCACAGCGAGTCGGAGGTTTGAAGAATATGTTCGGGAACACACTTGGGAGGATTTTCTTGCTTCTTAAGCTCCCTCCACATCGGCAATTGCTACGCCCACATCAGATGGACCAGGACGCTGTACACCTTCACTCTTGCCATTGTGGAATGGTAGAGTAAAGGGCTTGATTAACTTCCCTATTACTCACTTTCTTATTTCCTCAATTTTCGAGGCTGTAATGACCCGGAAGTTTTAGTTGAAAAGGGGGTAGCTTTCATTGAGGCAGTTAAGTCGAAAAAAATTAAATGCCTGAACTTTTGATATTCACTGTCGACGATAGAAAGAGGGTAGATACCGAACACTACATGTTCCCGCAGTTTCTCTTTAGAATCGTGGCGTGTTAACGTATTCAGTGACTATTGTTATGCCTTTTGAGGTTTCTAGGCCACATAAAAAGGCAGAAAAGGCCTTGGAAGGCACAACAATGCTGACTGCTATACGTACACGTGCCTCCACTTTGTCCCCAACTGCTGCCTCTCCGGGCCTAGTCCTGGATCTTGGTGGCTTTCCACCTTTACTAACGATCGATTTCACTTTCTTTTTTTTGGGAGATGGGATGGAACGTCTTCAAATGTCTTGGATGGTACTGATTAGATCCCTCATGTAGCAAAGAGAGTTCGGGAAAAGTGGGATTTTACTAGTGGGAGAACACTAAAACACCGGCTACCTCCATTGTCTCCTCTCCCAATTAAAGGCAGTTGGCACGATAAATCGCTATACAGGTGTAGGATTTGTACAACTGGCTTAACAGAATTCCGTGACCTCGGACAGGCGCTGCGTGAAGCCTTTTCCAAGGAGGGTACCTCTATAACGCCCTATTGAGCAACAACTTTACGTCCCAAACGCCTTCCTTGCCCGCCCGCCCACAAACGGACGACCGTTTCTGACGCTCGTATTCATTCATTTGCTGAGCAAATTATGAAGCAAAGGGATTGGTATGAAGCGGCGGTGATGCTGCATGCATATATGGGTACACATATGCAGCCGTATCTTCGGTAGCGGTGATTGGCAAGATGCGTACGGGAAACTCGTCCGAAATCGATTTACAAGTCACTGAGAACGGAGGCTTTTTCTTCGCCGGATTTTGACCGTTTCACTCCGTTCTGCATTTTAGGCTAAGTAGGAAACCATCGTGCCAACTGCCTTTAAGGGCAGTTCTGTTTAGGGAAGCAGCTAGCTCAAACAAGGGCACATCATTTCGATTAAAAAACTTTGTATGGATGGGGAAGCGAGGTGGGGGGGGGGCGTTAGACACCTCCAATCATCTAATGCCAGGAACCGTAGTGGAAATACTAATACCCGGAACGCAAAAAGACCAACAGTCGGGAAAAATTCTCAAGGCCCACGCTCCGACGGGTAGATACGATCCCGGTTAGGTTTTTCACACAAGAGTTAAGCGATAAGCCACCAACGATATATGATTAACACAGCATTGAGAAAGAACACACGAAATGTTGTACGTCAACTAACTACAACCACCCGGTTCCACTGAAGACAGAATGGTAAATGGTGAGAATGTCCTAAAAGTTCCCATTTGGGCAACATAGAGTTCAAATGAGGCGCTGATAGGCAAATCGGCAGGTTAAATGGCAGGGGTAAGGTCATCTGCCTATTTTGTATCTGCGAAACTTGAAAACATTCGATGACGAGGGGATCAGTGGTCGAGAATTAGGAAAGAAAAACCGGTCACAATTCCACTGAACACCACGAAAATATCAACATCTGCGGTTCAAGGACTCATGAGTAATCGACAGGAAGCAACCCACTGGACGTATCGACCTTCTTGTAGCCGATAGATGGGAAAGGGGGCATGATAGCGAAGTTTCGTCTGGCTTTCAAAGGTGATTTTTCAGTTCTGTCAGGATTGCCATGTGTTGGTCCTGCAGGCGCTTCCCTGCCTGCCACTCAAGCAGCCTTACAAGGGAGGTGTTTCAGGTCATGCCGCGCTTTTTGGAAATGGTTTGTTGCTTGTTGTAGGGGTCCATACAAGGGTCACAAAAATGGGTTTCATTTTTGCTATGCGTTTCTGGGTAGGTCAAAAAACGGAGTGAAAGAATTTGACAAGAATGGGGCGGTTTTAACCAACCTTTCAGAAGAAGCGCGGCCATGACCTGAAAACACCTTCCCTTGTTGTGACTTAAAAATAGTGCTTTTCCGGGGCCCATTCTGCCAATCTGAATGTTGCAACACATAAATAGAGGCGCCCAAAATTTATTGCGAAAGACTCAAAAGATTCAAAAGAATCCAAAAGTTTTCACAAAAATTTTTTATATTGTTTATACTCTTTCTTCTTCGAATATTTCGGTGCCTAGCACCTTCTTCAGCGACCTGAAATACTACAGTTAGCCACCTCCACCGGAATCCTGAATCTTCAGTGGTGCCTCCTTCTGGACTCTTGACCTGGTCTGCGTGCCTCAGTTATCCGGCCAGTATGCCGACTCTATGCCGCGTCTTCTAGTGGTAACTGACTGACCCTACCCGTTACCCTGCTTAAATAGTGAGGATGCCTAGTGAGTGCTTCTGCATATGATATCACTGACCGCTCCACCATTATCATTACCGTAGTCAGTGAATCAACTGCAGCGCGTCACGTAGCTCATCCTTGCTATTCATTTCTGGGGATAGTCTTCTTATTTCCAGTGCTTCTAATAACTTTCTTTCCAACGGATTTTCTATGGAGCGGTGTAATACTGTAATGGTAAGTGCGGGAGGACTTTCGTGTGCATGCATTTTGGTGTTTTTTCATTTTCATTTTATCAAATATACCGTCCCCCTAAGTTGACATATTTTTCCGCCATTACAGTATGCGCAGCTACCTCGTCCACATTTATCTTCATAAGGCCTGGAGTACGTGAGCAGTCTTTTAAGATTTGTGCGTGGATGAACTATAAGCACGCCAATGGGAGTGCGACAGAGCCTTTACAGTCATCTCGCCCACTTACCATTATAGCTATACACCGCTCCATAGAAAATCCGTTGGAAAGAAAGTTATTAGAAGCACTGGAAATAAGAAGACTATCCCCAGAAATGAATAGCAAGGATGAGCTACGTGACGCGCTGCAGTTGATTCACTGACTACGGTAATGATAATGGTGGAGCGGTCAGTGATATCATATGCAGAAGCACTCACTAGGCATCCTCACTATTTAAGCAGGGTAACGGGTAGGGTCAGTCATTTACCACTAGAAGGCGCGGCATTCGCAAGGAGCAGCGTCGACATACTGGCGGATACTGGAGGTCAGAGTCCAGAAGGCACCACTGAAGATTCAGGATTCCGGTGGAGGTGGCTAACTGTAGTATTTCAGGTCGCTGAAGAAGGTGCTAGGCACCGAAATATTCGAGAAGAAAGAGTATAAACAATATAAAAATTGCTGTGAAAATTTTGATTTTGAATCTTTATTGGAGTCTTTCGCAATAAATTTTGCGCCGCCCATTTTATGTCGTCAACATTAAGGCCCACAGTTCGCCGGACCGCAAATTGTCGGGAAACGGAAGCTCAAATAGGCCACTCAAAAAAAGTGCTAAGTATCTGCATTAGCGGGGAAAAGCAGCAGAAAAAGCAGTCCGAAATGTTATAGAGAAAGATAACATAGTGGCTACTAGCTAGTAGCTAGCAGCCGGTGAGGGTCGGCATGGGCCTAAGGGGTGTCCATGGGCCTAATTAGTCAGCTTCTAGCGGAGTTCTTGCCGTTTTCCACATTTTGGAAGCAGCGCATCCTCAAAAATCGCCTTCCGGGATGCAGTCCGACACATATTGCAGAGCCGTCATAGCGCTTATTTTTATCGCGAGGATGTAGCCTTTCTAAGGCAGTTCTGCTTTAAGAGCGAAGCAGCTAGCCCTCAAAACAAGGGCGCACATCATTTCGGATAAGAAACTTTGCTTTGTGGGCGCAGGCGAGTGGGGGCGGGGGGGTAGAAACCTCCGCATCATCCTTAAATGCGGAACCGTAAGTGGAAATACTAATAGCCAGGAACGCAAAAGACCAACAATAGATAATATTCTCGAAGGCTATGCTACGATAGATACGACCCCCGGTTGGATTTTACAAACAAGAAGTTTAAGCCAATAAGCCAGAACCAATACTTATATTAACCAGCGAGAAAGAACAGCACGAAATGGTTATACGTCAACTAACTACAACCACCCGGTTCCACTGAAGACAGAATGGTAAATGGTGAGAATGTCCTAAAAGTTCCCATTTGGGCAACATAGAGTTCAAATGAGGCGCTGATAGGCAAATCGGCAGGTTAAATGGCAGGGGTAAGGTCATCTGCCTATTTTGTATCTGCGAAACTTGAAAACATTCGATGACGAGGGGATCAGTGGTCGAGAATTAGGAAAGAAAAACCGGTCACAATTCCACTGAACACCACGAAAATATCAACATCTGCGGTTCAAGGACTCATGAGTAATCGACAGGAAGCAACCCACTGGACGTATCGACTTCTGTAGCCGATAGATTAGCGAAAGTGGATGATTATGCGAAGTTCATGCTTCTAAAGGTTGATTTTTTAGTTCTGGTCAGGTGTGCCAGTCTGTGGTCCTGCAGGCGCCTGCATGCCTGCGCTCAAACAGCCTTAGTGATTACTCTTTGGCGAAATTAACAATACTTGACTTGCGTGTTTTGTATCAAAATCTTAAACCCGACGGGATCCATGCCACTTAAAATTATTTACGCACTCTCAAGTGGATTCTAAAGGAGCATTCAAACGTGTCTGACTTCAATGGACTTTTCACTTCAGAGGACTACCTTCAAGTGCATTCTATACAACGGCATTTGAAGACAAATTGTACCGCTCTTCTCGTGCGATCCGAGCATTGTCATTTGACGGCCAAAATCTTTCGGGCGACTTGAGCTAAGC